TTGCTTAATATGGATATGATCGAATTTTTTGTTACAAAGGGCTCAAATGCTTCTAAAAGGATAAAAAAACTCTCTGAAAGTTTTAGCTCTTAATATTAACTTCAAGATAGTCTAACCAAAGTTTCTTATGGCAATAACATGAGTAAAATACTAATTGTTTTTTAGAATTTTATAACTTAGCGACAATAAAACAATTACAACAAAAATTTGATATATTATAAAATAAGTGTTTACTTAAGGAAGAAGAACCAGCTAAACCTTTCAGTGAATTTTTTCATCAATTTGGAAGCATTCAAACCACTGGGGGCAAAGAAATTCGAAAATATTTATATAACGACCACCCTAGTATATATATATATATATATATATATATATATTAGTTATTAAATTAATAATTGCAATCCCCAGAATATCTTTTCGCTATTTTAAAAATTTTTAACTTTCTATCTCATCATTCATCCTACATATCAAATTTAATTATTTAAATGGTATTTTATTAGTATTACTTGGATCGCTCGGAATCTAAAATCCAAGTCTTAGATTTAACTTTACTTTATCTAATTTAAATGCATTTGTTCAAATATATGTAGTAGAACAAATCAAGAAAAACAATTTTCATTGATAGGTATTCGCACATCTTTCAGCATTGTCAGATTTACCATTAATTTGACATATATTTGTCCAATTGATTTAAGTCAAATAATTACTGGATTCTCTATGATATTTTTGAATAAAAGTACTTAATATATTCAATAATTTAAGTTTATCTATATTTTATTATTAAAATATTGAGTTTACTTTATTATTATTCATTTAATAAAAAAATATTTTGAAATATTTTTTAGATTTACTTAGTAAGTTATTATGATTGAGAGACTTCTTTTGAATCATTTATGAAAAAAAAACGACTATTATTATTTAAACATATATAAAGATAATTTGAGCAGTATTCAAAAATAACTGCAAATTAATAGAGTTACTATTTAAATTATTACACAAATAGATGACAATAATAAATTGATATACCCAAACCCAATTTCGAATTTTGATATTAATTTGCAAACAATTTCATATATCTCATTTTCATATTATTTGCTGTAAATATTAACGCATCATTACAAAACAATTTATATTGGTATATTATCTAACACCTATTTATATTGGTATATTATCTAATAATTTATCGATGATATTTTTTAATATATGGCAAACAGAGTGCAGAACACTGTTCGAATTTGAGTAAATCGAAATTATATGCAATTACGACGATGGCGAGAATTAACAATGGAACACATTTCGATTGCTATTCATAGGGAAATGATTAAAGCACAAATGCATTTGTGTGAGTAGGTATTAAACAGTTATTACCTTTAATTATTTGCATTTTGCCTTTCACACTACGAGCTTGTTAGCTGCATATATAGCACGGAGGTATAATTACATATGGAATATGTTTCATATAGTTGGGGATAAATGGAATGTGTATAGTAATTCTGTTATCGTCTACTATTGCAATGAAATTTCACTCCTTTATATCAATATTGTTTTGTGGTTGTTAAAATAATCAAATTCACATCTTGCAATGTATTGCTAAATTAAAAATACTCACTTGAATGGCATCGACACCATGTACGGAGTCGTCCTAAAACATTTTGGAATCTTGCTTGATTCATTCTCCAATAGCCGTAGTTTCGCTTTACTGACTATTTTTATTTTTTATTTTTCCTACAATTTCATTATCAATATAACTCTTACATCGATAATTATATCTTAATACCAATGGTTTTCTATAGGATTCGGAAACCCTTTATTTCAGTCCGCATCATAAAATTTTCAATTGTCAATAAAAGATCTATCAAATTTCTGCTTCAGTTGCTGCTTATTGCAAATCATTTTAGAAAAGAAAAATAAAACAAATAATATCTTCTTTTATTTTACGATCATCATTCACGCTTTGAATTTTTTGGTATTAGACAGAAATTTTATTTTCAATCCTTCCAAAAATTCATGATTAGCAATATCGCGTGAGTCATTTTTATTGTATTACGTTACTAGTTTATCTTTTTATTATTAAATTACCAATACAAATTATTAACTAGTGTTGTAAGTCATCGTGTCCTGAGGCATATTGAGCTTCAGAACTTTAGGAAGATCTAAAATAAAATCTGAATTATTTTCGATACCCAAAAAATATTTTTTTTTGGCAAAAATAATTGAAATATTTTTTTCCAAAATCAATTGTTTTGTCAACACAAGCAGAATGTTTTTGGATCATTCAAATCGGATACTGCGTCCTCTCAAAACTTGGTTTCTGTTTTCTGTACTCTTTGCTCCGTATCTCCGGAACGGCTGAGCCTGCCTTTGCCAAAATCTAATCAGCATATCTCCCTATAATAATAATCGATTGCTTTTTGAATTTTTCAAATCGGTTCAATCATACGCCCGAAATCGTAGACGAAAAATTGTCTCCACACATATACACACACATCAATTTTTTTTTAGGTATGCCAAAATGTTCAGAAACCTTTGAAACGTGAAGGAATGCAAAATTTTTCATTTTCGATTTTCGGCCCGTTACTATAACTTACCCTACGGAATGTTAAAAAATTAAATCTGACTCATTATTTCACAAATTTTATACCCGAAGCACATTGTTTGTATATAAATATGAATAAATTTATATTTTATTCATGGTCATGTTACAAAATATTTTTATGTTGAAACAATAAAAGCTTAAATCAATAAATAATAAATATGCCATATATATATTAAAACTACTAAATAAAGTTCATGTTACAAAAAATGTAGATTTTTCATAGATTTTAAACTTACGTACTTGATCATGGATAAATATTGATTACAAATTGATATACAAAATCACGACTGAAAATTTAAAGAAATTCGTTACCTTCTATCGCAATATTTGCACACGTATATTTATATCCATTTCCATGTGCATTTGGGCATATAATATCATCAAAGTTTCCGCTTACATTTATTAAATCCATATAATACCGTCTCCAAAAAAATATTTTCGGCTCATGACAAATTGTTAACAGTGGTATGAGTAGTTAATAATCTATTCAGTTAAAAGCTCTTGAATCAATAATAACAGCCACTCAAGCGTCGATTATTCTTTCATAAAAGGACTTGTCCATCTGTTGAAATGAAGAAAATATTATTTGCAAATAACTGTACTGAATGGTCGAACACTTGCCAATGCTTTTGCGGTATATATTTGAGAATATTAAGTCTTATTAGTAAATCATTATGTCGCCTAAAGTGTTGGGATAAATATATCTTTTTGACTCGAACCATTGAGCGTGCAGAGTTTTTCTTAAAACGTGTGCTCAGGCGAAATTTTTTAGTCTGTGGTACACAAAGAGTTTAACAAGTAAATGTGTTTGATGAAGAATAAGTCCTATTCTTATTATAAGTACGTATGGATTATATGAAATATATATTTGGTATTGTTAAATTTGAACAACGTGTTGAAGTTGTAAATATTTTCTAATTATGCGCCTGATTTGGTGAAACGATTCATGATATTACCAACGTAATCGGTATGTTCAAAAATTGCGTGAAAGGTGAAAGTAAATAATTCTATATAGTGAAATTAGTTTATTTAACATAAATAACTCGATACCATAAATTAAATGAGATCTATTTGAAACTACTAATAAACTAATCTAATATCCAATTAAACAGATTTAAATTTCTTTCAAATATTCTTCACTATGTCAATTCTTGTTTTAAAAAAAAAAATTATTTTTTATTCAGTATTCTAACATTTTCTTTTTAGGTCAGTTTTGTGAAAAGTGAGGTTTATCATATAATAAAAATTACTGCTCTTATAAGTTATCATTTAATGATGTACATAAGTAGCTTATTTTCATTAAATTTTAGAAAATAACCTTTAAAACGCAATGTATACCAAAACAAGAGACTCCACTTCGTGAAAATATGAAGTTACTTATCTAAATCTCATAAAAATTAAAAAACTAAATGCATGATTAATTATTTTAAAACTTTGTGGATTTGTATCGACTATCGACAAAAAAAATTTAACTTTAATTACAAATATTCTGCAATAAAATCGATGAACATCAAATAAATTAATAAAAAAACCTCTCATTTATTTTTGAATATATTTATTTCTTATATTTGATATCAACGATTACAAAACAACTCTTTAAATTAACATATTCCATATTACATTTTCTTAAAATATTCGTGCATATATATGAATTATCACAAAAAATAGGTAAATTCATATTATATATCTCTAGAACAGAATATTGCAATGCTTTCACGTGATTTTAAAATACGTTACAATTAATGTTGATAAAGATTTATAATTATATTTACAATATGATAAATTCTAACTACTAACTAATTTATATACAAAAAGGTTTATTTACAATTAGGATAAAAGCAAAGATTTATGTTCAATTATTTACAATTTGGTAGAACAGAACAAGGCAAGCCTTAATCTATAATGTATGTACAATTCATTCATATTTACAGTTTATTTGGTTTATGTACAATTTGTGATATGTACAATAATATTGGAAAATGTATAATACAAAATTTACATACAGATATAAATTTCCAGCTGATAATATATTAGATAAATTAATTCAAAATTATTTGATTTTAAACATAAACCAGTTATCTAAATATGAAGTTCATATTTTCGGCTATGTACAAAATAATATTTATCTATATAAATATGAATGTATTGTTCAATATATAATATAGTTATACTTTAAATAAAATTTCTGAATTTAATACATTTTATTTGGGCTGTGCTTTGTTTAGAAAGAAAACGAATAAATAGTTAATAAATCATTAACTAATTTTAAATAAAATATTTTATGGTGTATAAAATTATCAATAATAAAAATAAAAATAAATTTTTAAAGAATCTTAAGTGATTTTGTTCTATAAAATTGTATAACTTGTATCATCAATGTTAGCAATTATTTTTTTATTATTTCCTACGACCCAGTATGCAATTGTCCTTTCGGGCTGGGAACCACAATATGCTGCCCCAACATAATATGTTCTTGCGCCCTGAGCCTTAAAGCATCCGCACTTCCGCGTCTCGAAGGATCAGCTTCTTCTTCTGCGGTAGCTTGAAGCTGCAATTGCTGTTGCAATTGTTGCTGCAATTGCATTTGTAATTGCTGTTGTTGAGGACCTGTGGAAGCTCCTGCAGCGCTCGTAGGAGGCGGGAATGGTAATCCTGCCAGCATGCATCGGCTTAATAAAGCGTGAAATGATGGTACGGAAACGGCATGAGGCTGGAGCTTGTGTGGTAACCCTGGTAGACATGGTAGACCGAGGGGTACGGAACCTGGTGACGGAAAAATTCCTGGGAATCCTAAGCCTGGCCAGAACGGATCGGAGAGGTGGCCGTGGAGTGCGAATTCTGGGACTCCTGGAAGAGAAAAAAATATTTGTATTAATACCTTGCTATCATAATTATAAAGGGAAGATTAAATTCCAGGCCAATTAATAGATATTCTATCTAAACACTAGACAGGAGTGACAGCTCTGAAATATTATCCCACTCCTCAATGCAATATAATTTTGTTAAATTCCTCATGTGACATCAAAATTAATTATAGTATTCATGTACGGCCTATGAACAATATGGTTCTTCACAAAGGGCGAAAGAAACACTTCAATTCAATAATTACAGCAAAAAACTAAAGTCATTCCCATGATCTCGCTCTCCACTGATCACTTGAGCGTGACCAATGACTTCTGGATGACACCAGACTCGATTAGTGACAGCATTAACACGTCATAATATTGCGTGTATAATTTTTGTCTTCGTAGTCGTTATGACAAATATATATTTAAAACTAGAACAAAAGGGGCCGCGACACCTGCAGCTGTGCTGATGGAGGAATGAGAAACTACCCCAAATGAATTATCGTAACGACAAATCGACGGAGACCTCTGATCGGTAAGGGTGAATTCATACTGGTGACACAAATGATAGCAGGATTATTTAGAATATATAGTAAATGTTTTTTAAACAAATACTAGAACAAATATATTTAATAAAATCGAACAAAAATTGATATCATGGTGTAGCAAGCAATGAAACACCAGTCCAATGGCATTGTTACAGAAAATGTTGTACAGAAGATCAAGTTGACGGATGAATAATATTCATGCATGGCAAAAGTAACAAATAAGTAAAATATCACAGTAAAATAGAAAAAACAATATTCTTCAAAAAATGTATATAGGCTCTAGATACATCACGAATTTTATATTATGATCCATTTTTAAAATTGGCAATTGTACATAAAATGGTAAGGATTGCCCTTTCGAAACTGATGTGCATTATAAGTAAAATAACCTCTACACTAATCTTTCAAAAATGATAGTGTAAGTTATAAAAATCTAAGTATCAAACGCAAAAATAAAAAAGGACGTGATATTGGGAACATAAAAGTCTTACAATTAGGCTTGATTGACCAACGAATCAATTTCAATGCTGCAGTTGAATTTTTTTCTTTGCATGATTTTACAGGTACCTGCATACCTCTTCGCCTTTCAGTCAAATTAATGACAAATTTTACTCACAATAATCGTAAGCAGGAACTGACAGATGTGATTCCGAAAATGACAGTTTGCGTGATACACATTCACACAGTATAATACGGTTAATTAGAAACGTAATTATAGGTTCGCGCATTTCCTATAATACACGAAAACACGTCTCGAATATGTGCGTGCTCATAGGTGGTTGTTGCCCGTGACAATATTCGTTTATATTATTGCGTTTTAATCGTGCGATAGTTTCGAATCGGTTATAAAATAATTTATCAAACCTGAATAAAATGGGTTAGAAATTCATTCATTATGTTTGATTTTAGTAAGTGATAAATTTTATAATGATAACGTCTTTCTAGGTAATACACCCTACAAAATTGTTTGTATTTTCAGGATAAAATGTCAAAAACATTCCCCGAACAAAAAGTATTTATATAATTTTTTAGAATACGCTTTGTTATATTTATTAAACAAGTAATGTATTATTTAATTTTATTATATTTATTTCACTAATTGGATGAGTGCTCTAATTTAAATGCCAAATTGGTGCTTAAATGAAAAGCGGCTTTAGATTAATTGAACCACTGGCAATGCGCAGCGGCTAATTCACTGATTTGTAAATATAGTTCATGTAACCAGTTTTGGAATCATGTTTTGAATCGTTTTCATGAATAAATCATATTAATTTATATTTAATTGGCATAATCCTTAGCAAAAGCTATCAACTCGGTTATGGGTAATTTATAATCGATAATTTGTATTAAAGCTGTTATAAATGATACATGGATATGAAACTTTACATTGAACATATAATATGAGGAACATATATTTTAAAAGATTTAATAATGCTTTGATATTTACCTTGATCAGAATGCATGAAACCAACTCCATCTCGTCCCATAGCTTTTTCACGTTTCCTCCATTTTGCTCGTCTGTTTTGAAACCAAACCTGTAACAAAAAAATGAATATTTTGTTAAAACACACTTCTATATAAACCATAATTATTTAATCATTATTATAATATTTATTTTTACTAAATTAATTGAATTATTAAATGTTAGTTACTAAATTCAATTAAAATATTTGCCTCCGGCCAAAATTTGAGGTCATTCGTCAAAATGACACATGAAGCCATCGACAATGACGCGTGTACATAATTAATTACCCAAATAGTGAAAACATTATTGAATTATCATTAGTGATAGATAAAAGTAATTAGAGTATCGTTTGGTTATGGAAGCATTCACATTAATGTGCTAGAACTCACTAGAAATGTGAACTAATTAGGCATTATTCTACCAATGTTGGAGATCATTTCTTGTAGATAAAATTGACATGTCAAGAGAAATAAGGTTATATATAAATGAATATATATAAATTCTACAGAGGTTGAAAATTAATAAAATTGGACGTATTTGTAATCAAGTTTTGCTGGAGCAAATAATTCAATGTTACATATTCGTTACTACAATTGAATGATTACTCCCCGAAACTTATTAATATCAATGTTTGCTTATAAAATCTGTAAATAAAAGGATTTTGCGTCAGTGCATCGGTAAATCACAGTACACAGACGTCATGCACAAAACGTTTTTGAGAGTTGCTATAGAAACTCAAATAAAATGCTAATCACTTCTTTATTCGAGTTAAAAGAGGGATCCTTTGTTGGATTAAGTATTTGCTAAAGTACTCTTTATGGACAGTATCGAACTTTCAGTAGTATACTATACTCAATCGAGAGAAAATCATATTTTTTATATAACACTTTGTCATAATAATAGGCAAAATGATAATAAAGAATGAATAAATTATAAATTATATGAAGAAGGTAATTAGAATTCATTTATTGAATTTTTATATCTCTGGATATTCATAAACATTGCAAATTACGTGAGCCTGATATGGCAGTAACTAAACCAGTAACTAACTGGCATGTAATACAAATAATTTGTTGACAATATTTATGCAAATAATTGTTTCAATACTGCGTCAGTAACAATACATCCCTGTTTTAATAAAGCTGGAAAGCGTGTGCTGAAAGTATTAAATCAAATAGTGGCCTTGTAACACACACTACCCCATGCATATATGCCCAGTACAATGGCTTTAACAATAAACTTTATGGGAGTCAATCAAATCGCAGTAGAAAATTAAGATTTATTCTTACTTCAATTCACTTGATTAATAAATAGAAAAAAAATAGCTAGGACTGCAAATTATAGCACAATATTTGACAACTTTGTTTTTTTATACTATATTGATTTTAATTAAATTATTTGAGAATAGCTGAACCCTTAATGACTTGTCCCAGAACAATATTCGAATGTTGTACAACGTATGTAGTGTATATTAGGCTACTTTGCTGCCTTGATCATATATTTACACGGGGATTACCGAGCTCGATAACAAAGCCGTGTTTGTGGGGCGAGAGCGCGACTCTATATACGGTTGCAATAAACATCTAAACAAGACACATAATGAAATGTAATCGTTGATATGGGAAAGTTAATATATTTGTTGTTAGCGCGTGCTGCACGCATTAAATACAAATATTTGTTTGCCCGTTTTATTAAATTTTATGTACAAAACTATTAAGTCGGCAATGGGCGAAAGAAAGATTTTAATTACTGGGGATTAATGGGAAAAGGTTGCATGTGCAAATAATCTGTATACATACTAATTTATATTTATATATATATATATATATATATATATATATATATATTAGGGTGGTCCTTAAAATTGTCATTTTCGAATTTTCTTGCTCCCAGGGGCTCAAATGGTTCCAAATTGATAAAAAATAATTCTCTGAGAGTTTTAGCTCTTTATATTAACGTTTAATAGAGCGCAATTCAATCAAAGTTTTGTATGGAAATAGCATGGATTTTTTTTCAGAAATTTTAAAAATGTTTTAAAAATGAATAAAACTCATTCATTTGTTGCTAAGTTATACATAAAACATTTTTAAAATTTTTGAAATGCTATTTCCATACGAAGTTTGATTGAATGGCGCTCTATCTAAAAGTTAATATTAAGAGCTAAAACTTTCAGAGAATTGTTTTTTGTCAATTTGGAACCATTTGAGCTCTTGGGAGCAAGACCATCCTATATATATATATATATATATATATATATATATATATATATATATGTACACACTCACACACACAGGCACACACTAAATCTTCCGTACGTGTGTTGTTACTCAACTGCGCCTAAACAGCTATTCGAATTTTGATAAACCTTTTTTGAGTTAGTCAGAGGAATTAAAATTGTGATAATGAACTAAGAATTTGAAAAAAATATCATTATTTGACAGATAAGATGAGAATTGTCAATATATCAATCTACTTAAAATTTGAATTTGAATGATGATATATAATATGTTATATTGAGTAAGAAAAATGTTATTCAGGAATTATTATTGCCAAAAAGCAACTAAGGTAAGCCAACTAAAATATTAAATATTAATAATAAAATGAATTAATTTTGCTCGTTGAGAGTTCAAACAATATCAATTTATTAGAAATTTGTACTTGCGAATAGCGAGAATTTTATGTATTTTGCCGCCGGAGCAGCGGCATCCGAGTGGAAAGGGTTAAATTCAAAGTAAGAAAAATGTAAATGTCAACATTAGTATTGCAAAAAAGTAACAAATATATGGCAGAGATTAAAATGTAGCATCATCTTCACAGATGACAGTTGTAGAAGAATTAATTTACTTATTTATATATACTATTATTCAAAATATTATTTTAGTTCTGCGTGAGTAAAATGTCCAGCTAGCATTATTATTTAAAAAAATTTAATAAATTCAAATTTTAAATCTAAAGATTTGATTTAATTTTATTATATTTATTTAATTGCTATAGGTTTTGTCAATATTATTGATGATAGCCGCATTAGTTAAACACACACAAATTTACACAAAAAATTATAAAAAATTATTACTTTGGATAATGATATAATCATTACTTGTTAATGTTTTACCCCACGTGAAATCTGTTTACTTAGCAGAGTCTAACGAATAGTCTTTTGTGTCAAAACCATCAGAATGTATTTTAAATATTAAAAATGTTATTTCCAATGTCTTTTCTCCATCGATTCATGATGTGTCGAGCCTTTCCTTCGAGACATTTAGAAATTGCGGAAAGCAAAAAGCTCGGGGGCGCGTACGGATGGGTAGCATCGAGTTAGTCACGGCAATTACACCGATTTAGTATAGCTGGTGCATTCTTAATTGGTACGATTCACCAGCGCACGCTCCTACAATGAGCAACGACGACTGATACTTATAATACATACACGATGGATCTCTATTCTTCTTTTAACATATGTCTCTGATACATATTGTTATACGAGAATGCAACGCGTGGCTTGGAAAAGCTACTGCACGACGAGGGAAGGGAACAATTTAATTTAATTTCTATATCAGGATCTATTTTGACATATATATTGGCAAAAGGAAAGGATTAATACCAAGAATTTATAATAATTATTCAATTTCTTTGCCATTTTTAGCCATGTAGTCATTAAATCAATAATATCAATCAGAAGGGATGCTTGAGGTTTTTACCAAAAGTCAAGATTGAGCATTAGTTGAACACCACATGGTTAAAAAGATTTACGATAGTTACCAAGTTTTGTACGAGTCTCTAAATACCCTGTGTAGACATACTGATCTACAATTAGATACAATTAGAAACAAAAATTTCCTTTATAATCGACAATTTTAAATTCTCTTTCTCACGATTATTTCAGTCCGAGTTCCATCCCCCATTCACCCCAACTCGACTAAATAGCTAATTCACTTGAATGGTTGCACTCTAAAATATCTCTTATTGAATTCTATTTTAATTGATAACAATTTACTAAATTAATCTGAATGCTTCGCAATGCGGTACGGCGGGTTTTAAGCATAGGGGGTGAGAAATAGTTGGACTTCTGAAAGCTATTCAACAGTATATTACCAGGAAATTCAAAGGGTGCATTTGAATAAGGCGAATTATCTAATAGTCATGTGGAAAATCTCGTGCATTCGCGGAATGCATACATACATTCAGATACATACGTAATTACAAGGATTAAAATTAATGTTCCAATTAGTGTGGGAAGACTTGTTAGAGTTTTTAATAGAATTACATTAAAAACACATTTTAAAACGTAATTTGAAAGCTAAAATAGTATTTTAGTAATAATGAAAGTATAGAAAGACTAAATTTTTCTGCTATTGCTACTATATAAAATAAAAATCCATAGTTTGTTATAGAAGTCACTATATTTTTAATATACAGTATTGGATTTAATACTTGTAAGTTCACGAATTTAATTGATTTTCTGCTCAATGTAAGATGATTTATTGTTTCAAACCCAAATAATACTTTTAATAAATTAAACTAATTTTACTAACAAAAATGATAAAAATTAAGTGCAAGGAGGCAATGTTTAAATTGTTCCACTCTTTTAAAGTGAAATTATTCTAAAATTGTGAAAAAAAAATCTTGTGTTTTTTTACTGATAGAAACGTAATTAGATTTTCCTAATTTGATTATGGATTTATTTTTCGGAATGAGTTTCCTACTGCCTATTCTTATCCACTTGTTAGAAAGAATTTAACAGATACCCGTTATCGCATTATCAGCTCTCTTCTGAGAGATCCAGCTTCTGGTCTGAGAGGGCAAAGGAGCATCAGTGGATAATTGCGCAAGTTGTCGGCTCTGAACCTGGGAAGGCCATTTAGTGTTTTGTCCGCTCAATTGCCGGCATTGTGACGCGCTGGCACAATGACATCCAATCGGAACCGGGAACTCTGTCTCTTGCCGGCACAAAAGCAAAAAGGGGAGCGCTCGCTTAAATCCGGTAATGCGTTACTGATGTGCGGGTTTGAAGATTCAAATTCCGATTCGCGGGTTGGGGGGTCAAAGTGGAGGGTTTGAGTTCTTAGATGGAATGGCTACTTATACTATTATCTTTGATTTGAGCGTATATTGCTACTGCCGGTTAGAGGGGTTGTCAAATGGATCGTGTTGATACTCAGTCGTTTCAACTTCGATATTATTTATGACTCTCTTTTTATATATATATATATATATATATATGTGTGTGTGTGTGTGTGTGTGTGTGTGTGTGTGTGTGTGGCGGAATGAAAATGTTCTTGACAGATGTCAGTTGATTGACGCCAATTTGATGACTAAACTACACAGCATACTTGGAGCTACGCTGAAGTGAATATCACATCTAGCAAGCTATAGCGAGATGATTGTTTTCACGATCGTGTAATTATAGCTCTCGGTTTTAATCATCGATCAATGTTCGGGCTAATAAATTTATATCAAAATTTATATAATATCAGTTTCGTTGTAAATTGAGTTATTAATAATCTCATATTATCATCGAGTCTACAACAGTTAATTGCGGTTTCACTTCTAAATAATAATATTTAATAATAAATGGCCCACTAGCGACTATTGATATATATATATATATATATATATATATATCAACTATTAGAAGTATTACTTCAATTGAAATTGTAATTTGCTAAATATATCTTTTACCCACTGACCTGTACGCGAGCTTCGCTCAAATCCAGTCTCATAGCCAGCTCTTCTCTTGTAAACACATCAGGGTATTGCGTTTTCTCAAAAGCCCTTTCCAATTGATGCAGCTGGTACGTGGTGAATGTAGTCCTAGACCGTCTGACCTTCCTCGGTCTTCCACCAGGTCCATCCATCATATCACCATGATCTGAACTACCGCAATCTTGATGCGAATTAGATCCATGTCCGCCAGTAGTTGATGATAAACCACCGTTTCCACCAGATCCTGGCATGAGACCATGATCCATGGGTGAATCTACTCGGTTTGGAGATTCGCTGTCGTCTAAACATACTTCTGGTTCGCAATCAGAGACGCTGCCTTCTGTTGTTTTGTTGGAAACCAGAAAGCTGTCTGAAACATCTGGGAAATAGAAATACATAAATTAATTTATATGAATATGAAAAAAATGTATATAACAGACATTTTCCAGAAAAAACATCATATAATTAAATATATCAACGAATTTGATTGCATAAATCCGGTTTAAAAAGAACAGAGATAACATACGCCGCATATTAAATACTAAATACGCCAATACAAATACGAAGGCAGAAAATATTTTACTATTAGTAATCTCATAATTTTTAATGAAAACATTGTACAATACATCTGCGCTTATATAATTGGAATTCAATAAATATATATGAAAGTTCCTGTGTAAAGTTACATGTGTATACCTCTGTGTGGATATTTTTGTGTGTGCATTATTTCTGTTGTAACACAGTAGATTATATACATTTGCAACTCTATTGCGCCAGACAAGATTCATCCGTAATCCGATTTGGTATAATATAAATCTGTATTACATATACAAAATAGCCCTCGACCTCGTAGGCTATGTTAGCGCAGCTTATATGTGCCCCGAGCTACGTGAAACAGAGGCGCTTTTTTACTGAGCTTTCGCTTGATTTTTATATTATAACAAGCTTATGAAATAATTAGAATTAAATATTTTAATGCCTTCTTTGTAAAGAGTTGTATAAGGTGTTTATAGTATTTTGTTGGCAAATTATAAAAATATATATAGTAGCTTTTTAAAAAACTATTCTTTGATATAGAACAGATAGCTATAATAATTATATGTATGTAAATATCATATTTAAATATATATATATATATATATATATATATATATATATATATACATAAATATAAAGTGGTACAAAATAAATTTAAATAACATGCATTTTATAAGCAATCAGATCGTCCAATTCGTAGATGATCACATGGGACACATTTCTATATAATGAAATATTTTGATTCCAATGAATTTTTCGAATTGTTCGGCTCTGTTTCTTTTGAAATCGTTAGTCCATATACCGGTACTTATATATACACGAGTGTACGAGTATTTTATATGTGTACCTTTAGATTTTAACAATGCTCGCTCATTGATATCCAAGCCCTGCAGCAATAACGCCACAAATTCAAACCCTTGAGCGCATTCGCGTCTCGATTTAAATCAATTATTTTTGATTTTAGTTCACACTGGCATATTATGTGGAAAAGTATTGACGAAATAAGTTTATTGAAGTTTTTAATAATTAATAAAAGAAAATTTTGGATTAAAATTTTGGATTACATACATTCTATTAGTCCCATTAATTTTTTAAATGTGCGCAATGTAGGTACCCAAATTATTGCTAGAGTAACTCAATAAGTATTGCAATATGCTATATTGTATGGAACTGTGGCCATAGTAGCATATAACCCCTATTATAAAGTATAAATAAATTTTTATAGTGATAATTTAGTTTTTGGCTATAATTTATTATTCCACTCCAGCTCATTTCTGTTGGCAATCGCTGCACAAATAACAAATTCATGCATGGGGAACTTAATGCAAAATTTTCGTTTGATTTATATTCACTTAACAACGCGGTCATCTATCTGATGATATTGCTTTAGGACGATTACGATGTGTCGGGCGATTCGATGCTAAAATGCGATTATTTCGCTCTCGCGGTGTCACTTTATGGAACAAACACATTTTGTATTGTCATCATTGAATTGCATTGAATACGCAAAGATCAAACCAAAAGCATATGCAAATATGAAATAGATATATGACATAGTGAATTTTCATCACAAACTATTATTTAAAACGTATTAAACAACAGAGTGATACCGTGTGGTGCACTGTGAGAATATAATAGATTTTTGATATGCTGGATGATTTTTATTTGATTTAAAATAAATCTAGACGCAATTCGTTTGGAAATTTGTGAACTACACACGAAAATAGTATTGGAAGTATTTATCTACAATATATAGATACAATATATACAATATAATTATGCCCTAGAGTTAAACTCCAACTCGATTCAGGAAAAAAATAGTGTGATAAATTTTTAATTGCCACTGAGAAAATGTTCATCGCTACTATATTGTATACTAGTAATTAATTGATTCATAACAATACTACTTGATTAAAAATATTATAAACTTTTATTAATTTTTTATGACTTTTTTATCACTTCTATAATATTATATTTGAAATTTTGTGATGGAAATCAAATGATTATCACGTATTTCAATAACGGCATATATGTCAGTTCGACTTACATGACCGAGTGATTTAATAGAAAATATGACAAAAATATCCATCTTTGTCACAAATAAAATGCAATGAAATACGCCGACGTTCTCGTATGTGATTCACCAACCCTTCAAACGTATTATTACAAATTAATCTATATAGATAGGTCTAATAGTGAGATAATGCATATTTTATTGTGACTGACGGTCGCCGTACATGTGTATTAACAGTCGGCGAAATTCCAAATGTATATGATTGCGAGCTTAATCACCCTTTTCATAGAGATCGTTCATCGTTCGGCGATACATGTGCGTGAGCCCGTGTATTCTACCCCATAAAAAGGAATTTAGTGGATCCCAATATTTAATTCTATTGCAAAATATATGAAAATTGAAATATATGCACTAATATTATTTAAAATTTAAATTCTCATACCGCTGGTAACACAAATATTTAATACCAATTTAAGGTTTAAATCTTTACTTTCACTATTGTTTAATTCTTTATTAACGCAGACAATGTAATATTTGAAATGCCTGTCTATGTATAAAATTATATCTCAATTTATTTGAGGAAATATTTAACAATCATCCAAAAATTAGTACGATTATTAAGTTACCTTAGTCTTAAATCTAAGGTAAATTGTCTACCGTTGGGTCAATTTTTAACAACGCATCACAAACGATTAGATTTACTGCAGGACTTGCCTAGAAAGTTGTAATTAAATAAAAGAAAATAAATTTAAAGCAAAAATTACCATAAAAAATAAATTATAAAATTTATGATAAATGCTTTCAGCAAATACGTTATAAAATTAAATTAATCATTTTAATACTCACACAAGAAACCCAAAATTAGTTTTTAAAATAGTTTTGATATTAAAACACTATTTGCATTCAGTTGCGTATTTTCATACAGTTAATGATTATCATAAAAGCGGTTATTATAAATTTTCATGTAAACTACTGCAAATTCATGAGATAATTACAAAAATGCGCGTTTTATAAAGAATTAATGATTTTTTATCGATTTATTATTATTTTTGGGAATCTCTGCCAACTCGGCTCTCAATTCATGCGGCTATTATTCCCGATGTAGGGGAGACACGTGCTTGTCGGGGGTTGTTAATTGTGCAGGTAAAATATTATGAGATCAAATGATGGATAAGGGCTCGGAATTCAGCAGTTATCGCACGATAGAGCGTTCCTAATAAACACTAATTGTAATTTTACATACACTTTTTATTTCTAGCTTGCATGAACAATAACTACTCGAACATATCTGCACGGAACATGCAATGTATGTTTGAGTAAAGTATTAATTCTTAATTGGAATGAATATGCATCGATGAATTTAAATATTGGTATAATTGATCAGTCGATTAAATAACTTTATTGGCATATCGCTGGCAAAATCTTATCGCAGAAATTTGAAATAAAATATAACAAAACAAGTAATCGAGTCATACATACATTATGCATCTTTAGTATATATTACACACACACATATATAAATATAAATTAATATATGTATGTGCATAGAATAACCATACATTAAAATATTGTTAGTTATGAGGATGTATAAATATATATTCATTCATATAACATATCAAAAAATTTAAAACATTCATAAAATATCCTAAAATTTGAAACATCGTTTTTCAAAGCAAAGCAGAGGGTGGCGAGTATATGTTTGTAAAATTGTGTAGATATATGTTTGTAAAATTGTGTAGATATATATATATATATATATATATATATATATATATATAGGCATGTTTCACAGTATATCATTACTTCGATCAGGTTAATGGATCAATTCAAAAACATTCAATCAAAAGTAATGCAATGAATTGCTCGTGAGCTTACATTACGCGGATATATTTAATATCGAAAATGTAACAAAATTGCTCAAGTGTCAATCAATCGTATATACCAGGAACTACTTTAAGTTATTGCTTATATTTGATTTTATTATTCATATTCATTTCATAAAAATACGTGATTGAATGATACTCTAGTGAATTGAGATTTGTGACATGTAATAATACGTATGTTACATTCTTACACTTGTAAACCAACACAACATATATATATATATATATATATATATATATATATATATATATATATTATCAAAATGGTTAAGTATAATACTGCATGAAAAAAGTTATGAATTCAATAGAGAAATTGCGATGAATTCTATTATATGTAGTTCACCTACATTCGGTTGATTAATTTTTTTATTACATTAAGTTAACGAATATAACAAAAGTTATGTAACAAAAGTTATATATAAAATGTATAAATTTGATAGATAAAACTAAATATGTAATATTAAAATATATGCTTTTTTTGATACTCAAATTAAATACCGGGTGAATATGCTAAAAAGAGAAACTATTTCAGAAATTGCATATAAAAATCTTATGAAATGCAAACGTATAGGTAGTTAATAATAAATAAATTGCCCTTATTTATCTTTTCTAATGAAAAAATTCATTCGTAACCAATTCATTGCGACCTTAATTTTTGTAACCAAGATCGATATAGATATACATTTTAATCTTATCCAAAGCATTTCCCTAAAAATCTAGCCAAATCCCTCTTCCCAAACGATCGTAATTTCCAAATATTATCGACTTACAGCAGTTACTTGCTCTAACAATTTATACGAGATACACCTATATAAATATGTGTACGAATTTGTCTAGTCTAATTATTTCCAACGTATGACATAATATTTTAAATCTATGATTGTACGAGTCGAAATGAGTCTAAATCTCCAGGATAAGCACCGACGAAACAGACCTCCGGTTTTCCCACATCTAATCGGGCGACTGACGCGAACAGGTAAATATACAACAAAGTTTAGCGCGGATTTCTTACAAATTCATACAAGCATTAAACAAGGGATTTACAGTGATTTTTAATAACGTCTATTGAATTTAAAACCGCAATTGCGGTTAAGAAGCGACGGGGGCGTTCGAGATTATCCGTAGCACTTTCATTGTCATAGCCAATTTGGACAATGTTTATGACAACGACAAAATTAGACTAGCAGTGCACTTTTTTGGAAACTGATAAAATAAATGTAGATTATTTTTCGAAATTTGTTGTGCGTTTACCTATGGAAATTTTATATTTTTTTAAGTACATTTTCAAGATTTCTTTATGAAAATGAAGAAATCAATAAAACTAATTTAAGTGTAATATCATTCTGCCGTTTTTGAGTAATATTAAATTCTAAATTAGTCAATTCTTAAAAAAATATCGAATTAATGAAGTACATTATTTTTGCGTTTAATAAAATTAATTGTAATATCCTTATTGTAATGTTATAAAAAATGTAATTAATAATATGCTAGGCTAAAACTATGAAATCATATCTACTAAAAAAATAGTTGACTTGACTTGAATTTTAAAATGAATAAGTAATATTGGTTTCATTCATTAATTTTTTTAAGATATAATCTTAGTTTTCAATCATCAACTAATTTTTACACCACATCGTACTTTCATAAATTTGAAAAGAAAATAATAAACGAGAATGACTTTCATTATCAAAATGAATGAATGGAGGTATCATTATTAGTATAAAATTTACCTGCGATTTAAAAATGCGTAATAAGTCTCATATCTCCTTTTCTAATTGACTATTTGACTTTTGTAATATTGAAAATTCATTCACATTTAAATGTCCTTTATAATCTTTTACATCCTGTCCATTATGATTTACAATTGATTTTTGACTTTATGAATTATATCTTTTACTAATGCATTAGGAAAGATAGTAAATTATTTCTTGGAAATAGAATTTAAGATTTTTGCGGTAATTTGAACATTAGGTGAATATCTGATAAGCTTCAAAGTTCATTCATTGCAATATAAAGAAATATATTTACTTTTTAAATTGAATAATATTTCGATTCATAATAAATGGTATTCAAAACGTGGATAAAAAGCTTATATATAAGAGCTAAATTAACTCTTATGATTATAGTAGAAATTGATCAAATCGTTTATTATATAAAATTCTAAGAAACTATTGATGTAGTGTATATTTTAAGAACAAGGAAAATTAGCAGATAATCATACCGTTTATATAAAGTTCATAAAACCTATTGCAATAAAGTATTTGTAATATGGAACTTCAATAATATTAGGGCCACCACTGGACGGTCTGATATGCCCTTTCTTTTTTATATTAATCAAAAAAATTACTAGATGTCATATTTTATAGACAGTTGTAATTACTAAATGAAATAAAAATAATGGAATTTAATGTTGAGTGTTTTTCACAGAGTAGTAAAATATAATTTAGTTCAATTAAAAAAAAATCTTGTTTTAAACCGATCTATAATGCGGAAAATTGATATAACATTTATCAACAAAGTTTGATAAAGTGAGAGATGAACCACGGATACATAAAGTAAGTGAATCATTGAAGGACATTCTTTCATTCATTCATTTTATCCATTTATAATTAGAAATTGAAGTTTATTATATAAAAACTAGACGAAAAATTGCCTGACGATTTTTATGAAAAAAATTATAGTCTCTATTTGATAAAATCTAAATGAATATACCAATCTAGAATTATCTTTAAATGATTAATTTTCATCTGAAGATGTAGAAGTAAGAAACAGAACTTACAAAAATAAAGAAATTACAATTAAACTATAAAAACTCACCGTCACTATGCCTGTTGTATTTAGCGGCTGTTCCTAATATCTGATCAATGCTATAAACTCCCCGTTGTCTCATAGGCGTTCTTGCTGCGGAGGAACATGAATCTGTTGTGACATCATCTTGAATTGTCAAGTCTTTCACAATAATTTCCAAAAAAACTATCAACACCGATTTACAAGAACACTAACAATATCAAAATCGTTAACTACACACAAAAGCACATTATAGTGATTTACTTTATCACAGGGACATCAACGTCCTGCGTTGGTCGGATAGATACTGAACTAGTCATTGATGATAACAACAATTTTGTGTAAGAGCTTTCGTACCCCCACCCTCGGTTAGAAATAACACAACAAATAATTACCCCGAAGGAAGACGCATAGTGTATTCTTTTGCACATCCCCTTTCCCGCAAGGGTAGCTTTGGTATACCTGTCCCGGTCTCGCACCCCGCTGAATTAAAATTTGATTCAGCGGCCAATAGCGCCGAGGGTAGGCGGGACGAGCTTGCGCCATCGGAGCTTTGAATGAAAAGCTCCCATACAATGAACGAGTGATTTCGAATTGTGTGACTTACGATATTATTGGATGAATGGTTTTAACTTGGCCAATATGTGAATGTTTTTGCATTACTTCTACACATTTTCTAAATATGTCGTTATAATAATATATTAATTCTTTAGTAATTTTAACTGATTATATTTTGATTTTAAATTTTGCAAATTTAAAGATTTTCTTTTGCTAATATATTTTATATTTATATTATGTCGAGAACGTTTTGCGATAATAAAACTTACACTCACACTTCGAAACTTATCTGACCTCTTTAATTTAATTAAAATTATATTTCATTAAGCTTAATGACTTTGTCAAATTATTGAAAACTATTGTTTACAAAATAGGTAGGTACTAAAAAATTATAGTTTTTTATATATATTTGGGTTTGTTACTTCATAAATTGAGTTATATATTTAGTATTATTTTAAATAGATAACCTGTAGAGATTCCTGAAAATATTCACAAGGTGAGAGTCATTCTTCAGACAGTCTCATAATATAAATAAGAACTAGTGGGGTGTATGGCATCGTCCCTTAAGGCAAGTTGCTGGAACTTCCCGTACCGTAACGAAATGTTGGAGGAATATTGAATGTTTTCAAATAGATTATTATAAATAAATGCTGTAACATTATCTAATATTTATAAGAATTGTATAAACTGAATTGCAAAGTTGAAATTATTTCTTTAAAGTATATTAGAACTTTGGTCAAAATTAAAAATAAAATTTGAATTATTTTCGATATACAAAAAAAAAAAAATTCTTGAAAACAAAAATTAAAAAAAAAATTTGAAACAAAATTTTTTTTATCTAAAATCAATTATTTTGTTAAAACAAGCAGAAAGTTCTTTGAATCATTCAACGGACGCTTAGTTCTCTCAAAAACTGCTATTTTTTGCACATTTAGCCTTGTATCTTCTAAATGGCTGGGACAGTCTTTGTCAAAAACTAATTACCACTTCTCCCAATCATTAAAAATTGAATGTTTTTTAGATCATTCAAATCGGATGCTCCGTTCTCTCAAAAACTCGCTTTCTATTTTCTGCACTCTTTGCTCTTTATCTCCGTAACTGCTGGATCTGCCTTTTCCAAAAACTAATCAGCACATCTCCCTATCGATAGGAATCAAATGTTTTGGAACTATTCAAATCGGTTGATTAGTGCGCCCGAAAACGTGGACGAAATATTGTATCCATACATACATACACACACACATCCATTTTTCTGCGGTATGCCAAAATGTTGAGAAACCTTCAAAACGTCGAGAAATGTAAAAATTTTCAATTTCGATTTTTGGACGATTACAATAACTTACCGTACGGGAAGTTAATAAACTATGAAATTAATTGAGATAATATAAATCTTATAAAGGTACTGTAAATTCTGAGACTTACGTACAATTGAGGAGAAAAAAGTTGCAAATAAATTAAATAAAATATTATTATTCGACACCAATATTAGTATATTCAAACATATCACAATCCTATAAAAAATTTTAAACGCAAATATTTTTAATTAAAAAGCTGACTGTAAGCCATTCAACTATTGAAGATTAAAGATTAAATTTTAAGAGTTTGTTAATAGAAAATACATTAAGTTTGTTGTCAATAATACTTAAATAATAATTATCTTGTAATATATATTGATTTAATAGAAATCCAGCAAACGTATCAGTTTTGTATAAATATAAAAAATGTCAAAATAGATTAATATTTATATTTTCTTCTTTAAATCGAAATATTATATAAAGAAATTTATTTTAGTTTAAAACATCATAGTTTTATTAGGGAATGCGTTTTTGGTATCGGTTCTAACCGTTCTTTGCTGTATTTTTAATAAATAGATATAGATCACCTATTATAAATAATTGAAAGAGAGGTTTCCATGCTTATTATTTCGTTTTTTTTTGATAGCATTAAGTATTTATATATATAACGATCTATGCCAAAATGAACCTTATGATATTTTTATTACTATTATATATATTTACAACTATGCTGACTAAGAGGTTTAGGAAATTTGAATACTTGCATTTGTCTATACAATAAAATACACTGTTTTAAAATAGTGATATGTTGAAAAGACTAATCAATAGTTGATTTTTCATTCCATTGATAAATTATACCGATAATATGTAAATTTAGTTTTCATCAAAATCATTGTTGACTTAGATCCAGTGATGATTTTGTTTTCAGTCCTCAATAGTAGTTTTCTGTTAGTATTGTGTCAATACAAATTTTTATAGTATACAAGCTATTATATTTAATGTTTAGAAATTTGTTATTAATCACATTTGCAGTAAAATCAATTTAATTAGCCCTTATATCCAAAAGATTTTGACGGTTGAGCATTGTTATTTCAAATTATGAGAGACTAGATTTGCATGCAAAATAGTTAAACTATTCACACTGAAAATTCATTGATAAATTCTTGGTACTGCATTCAAATTAAGTATTAAACCTGAATTCTTATGAATGAAAGTCACCGGATGTGACTTTATGACGGTATCTAACAAAACGGTACAGAAGTCATTCATAGTTTCAGGCTGATATACCTACCTGCCCAGGTAATCGAAATTATTTCAATTCGATATCATTGATAATTGACTTCTGACTTCTTATACCGTCGTAAAATATAAATCGACGTAATATTTCCTTCTTTTGTTATACAAATAGTTTGAGGCGAACCCGATTTGTATTGTTCGAAGTGTTCCAATTGTCGTTAAAAGAGATTTCGTTCAATGATTGCTTTTGTGGACAATAAGGATTAAATTGGTCAAGTGTCCTACGTCCTGTAAGTTTTAATCCAAAACCATGGATTATGTAAATTATCAATATTAAAATGTTTTAATACATTTCGCATGAAATTACACCAGAGGTTTTAAGCACATATTTCAAATATGGAATACATTAACGTAAAAGTACATTAAATAAATAAGCTAGTGGAAATGTTTATGACGTAGAATGGAAGTTTGGCAATTGCTTTGTATTTTTTCAATCAGAATATTATTAGATAAACTGATACAAGTAGATTAAAAACAAATATGAGTAAAATTTTGGCAATTATTATTTTGTATCGAAATATGTTTTACATCTTGATAAAATTTCATTCAATAAATAAATTAAAAAATATTTTTGAAATACTATTAAAAAATCAGTTTTTAAGCATTTTCAATCGCACATTTTTGTGTAAATTTCTTGTCATATTTTTATCTAGTAATAATACTGTATGCTTGTACTATTAAATAAATGAGTTAATAGAAATATTTATAGATTAGATTTATTTGTCACAAATATTTTGTACTACTATCAATTATATACTATTCGCATTTTTTCAGTATTGGGTTAACATTTTATATCAATTTATTAGTCTAGATTCTGTAAAATAAAGCGAAATATTATTTTTTTTTTTTTATATATCATTCTGAAATCAATTCAATATACATTATAGAAAGCATTTTGATTTTATAGTTTTTAAAAAATGATATTACCATATCAGCATGGAAAATCTGTTATTCTGCGCAAATATTACTCATGTTTTTTTTTATTTTTTAGTTATTATATTATTATAATTTGATATTTTATACCTTAATTTTTTTAATGTTATATTGATTGCTTAATAATACTATAATTGTATGCTATAATTATGTTATTTTAATAATTGCATTTTAAGTTCTGCTGGAGCTAATCTGCTGGATATATATAGAGTAAATAAAATAATTATTATTAACTTCCCGTAGGGTAAGTTATTGTAATGAGCCGAAAATCTAAATTGAAAATTTTTACTTTTCTCGACGTTTTGAAGGTTTCTGAACATTTTGGCATACCTCAGAAAAAATAGATGTGTGTGTGTGTAAGGATACAAATTTCCAGTCACGTTTTCGGGCGCACGGATCAACCGATTTGAATGGTTCAAAAAACATTCGATTCCTATTGATAGGGAGAAGAGCTGATTAGTTTTTGGCAAAGGCAGGTCCAGCCGTTTCGGAGATACGGAGCAAAGAGTGCAGAAAATAGAAATCGAGTTTTTGAGAGAACGGAGTATCCGATTTGAATGATCTAGAAAACATTCAATTAGTAATGATTAGGAGAAGTGCTTATTGGTTTTTGACAAAGGCAGGCCCAGCCATTTCAAAGATACGGAGCTAAATATGTAAAATGGCAGTTTTTTTGAGAGAACTAAGCGTCCGATTTAAATGATTCAAAGAACTTTCTGCTTGTCTTGACAAAATAATTGATTTTAAAAAAAAAATTTGTTTCAACTTTTTTTTTTCAAAAAAAAAATTTTTTGTGTATATTAAAAATAATTCAGATTTTATTTTTAATTCTGACTATAGTTCTAATACACTTTAAATAAATAATTTCAACTTTGCAATTAGGTTTATATATTTCTTATAAATATTGGACAATGTTACAATAATAATAATCTATTTGAAAACATTCAGTATTCCTCGAACATTTCGTTACGGTACGGGAAGTTCCAGCAATTTGCCTTAAGGCACGATGCCATACACTTCACTAGTTTTAAATTACATTATATTGCATTTATCTCTTGATATGTTTGGTTTTTAATATAATTTATTAAAACTTCGATAATTTTA